CCTGGGACTCCTTCGTGAGGTTCATTGATCCTGCACGGGCACGAGTGAGATGCCATTCAACGCAAGTACATACGCATATACACACTCTTAACCCACAGGCCATCCCTCACCTACCCACCTGGGACGCCTTCGTGAGGTTCATTGATTCTGCACGGGCACGCGTGAGATGCCATTTATCGCAAGTACATACGTATATACACACTCTTAACCCACAAGTCATCCCTCACCCACCCACCTGTGACTCCTTCGTAAGGTTCATTGATTCTGCACGGGCACGTGTGAGATGCCTTGACGTGAGTGATGTCTTATCTTTGTGGAACGACAGCTCAGAGTTCATTTTGGTTTGGTTTGCCCTGAATGTCTCCGTCTCCCGCTATCATAGGTGGTGTGAGCACAGGGGTGGGTGTGAGAGTGGGTGGGTGTGCATTTGTATTCGCATGACACCTCACTTTCTTCTTCTAACTGACCCGGCTGTGACGTTTGGAGACAGATGTTACTTTCACCTGTCTATTATTCTGTTCAGGTGCTACTTGCACGCAGGTTTAAGAACAACGGGTCAGAGTTGTTTCGCCTGATTTTTTCTGCATGTTGCTGCCTTCTGCTGTGTGTACAATTTGACTATGCATTCATGTGGAAACCAAAGCATGTGACTGCAAGCACTCGGCAAAAAGTTGCCACAAAGTTCGGGACTTGAGATAGAGAGTGACGAACTGAGATGTCAGACGGCAGAGAGACCATGTTTACGGGCGATGTGTAACTGATGCGTGTTGTACGCGAGTATGCACTAGACGCAATAGTTTTAGGGTTTTTAGGTTTAGAGCTAATACCCTATCAGAAGAGCACAAGCAGTAGTACTGATATATTAAATAAGAGACCCCGTCACAGAATCAATGTGTCAGCACTGCATTAAATCCTAAAACCCTAATGTTTTCCATGTGAGAGAGTGTAGTGGCACTCACAGGAGGTGTAGTGCGCAAGCAAGTGATAGTGTGATCGAGATGCTGGCGAACGCCTCACGCGTGTGGTCTGCAAGGAGAGGCTGTGTATGGCGCCAGTGGGGCATATATATAGGGCTATGGCACATGTCTTTACAGGTTTAGCTCTAGAGGTCGCTAGGGGTGAGTGTACGACAGGGATTGTTGAACTTGTCGTGAAGACCATCACGCACACAACAGGGTGTCAAACCCTAAACCCTAACACAACAGGGTGTCAAACCCTAAACCCTAACACAACAGGGTATCAAACCCCACACACAACAGGGTGTCAAACCCTAAACCCTAACACAACAGGGTATCAAACCCCACACACAACAGGGTGTCAAACCCTAAACCCTAACACAACAGGGTATCAAACCCCACACACAGCACTACTTAGAGCACCCCGTGAACAGACATGGTGACCATGGCACAAGACTTCATGGACTGTTGGGGCCAATGGAGTACGCTACCCAACCCATAGCGACGGGGGAGAAAAGGTACACCTACTATTCAGGTTACACAATAGAATAAACTAACGCAAACAAAGCACATGCGCCAGAAGGTGGAACAGGCCATAGTAGATCCACAGTACGATACAACGCAATGGATTCAGACACCAATACGCCAGGCAAAATACTATTGTGAAGTCAGCACAAGCAGTGTATATGTGAATAACACACAGCAGTAGCACAACGACAAACAACAGACTACTTCAGGCAATCATACAATGAATTACAGCAGAAGAAGAGGAAATAGCCTATCCTAGAACAAAGTACAGTACATAACACACCACCACCACACTCAAAACCAACCACAAATAGCCTATCATAAACAAAACACAGTCAAAGCACAGTACATTACACACCACCACCACACTGTAAACCAACCACAAATAGCCTATCATAAACAAAAAACAGCCAAAGCACAGTACATTACACACCACCGCCATACTGTAAACCAACCACAAATAGCCTATCATAAACAAAACATAGCCAAAGCACAGTACATTACACACCACCACCCCACTGCAAGCCAATCATGTCACAGTGCATTGGGAGACATACCGTGATATCACTCAGTTGGGCTGTGGTGTCGGCCAGCGTCTTCTTGAGTCTGGTCACATTCTTCTGTAACAACGCATTCTCCGCCAGTAACTCTTGCTGTGTCACAGAGGTGAGTGAGAGGTGCGTGTGTGTAGTAGCACACAGTTTGAATACGAATTGTATGTGAATACTACCATCCCATTGCGTGTGTGTATAAGTGTACACAGATTTGAGTGGGATATATATAAGTAATATATAACTTCCAAACATTAATACTTGAATATATGCACCACAACTGCTCAGCCAAAATACAAACATTCTTTTAACTGAATGTCGGTGTGTGCGATCTTATAAACAGAGAGACTATCCCGTCGCTCTCCGCGACGCATCTGTTTGAAAACATTCGATGGAAACGAATGTGACAAAAGGGGCACACAGTACACAAACACTGGGGCACAAACATACCAAAAACAAGCAGACTTAATGTAGAATCATATAAACAGCAGAGGCAGAATATGGGAAACCCGTAAGTTAATACTCCACTGGACTCAAAGGAAACAAAATATACCTATATATATATATATATATATA